TACATGAGGATTTGGAGGCTTAGAAGTTAAGAAATCAAAGATGTATTGGTGTTTGGTAACAAAGGCACCAGCACTAGCTCCCTCTGGTGAAAATACCTCTTTTTTTTTCTATTTTTACCATTATCCACTTACAATATGGAAAGGTTCAAAACACGAACGTTGTAGATCTAGATGTCTTCTATACTGTGTCAAAATTTCAGCTCAATCCAACGGTTGGATCAAAAGTTATGACAATTCTACGACAACTGGTCCGGAGCAGAAAAGTGTACCCGCTTTTTTTCACCCAATTTCTATATCTATTGCAAATCCTTTCTTACAAGATTTATTTAGCACATTTAGGCACCCTTTCTCCATACTTAACATACACTAATGATGCATTCAACAAGATAATTTATCTCAAGTCATGCCACCCATCCTCAATACCCCTTTTTAACTAAACCATCAATTTGAAACTAGAAATTGATTATATCCTTTCTACACCAACTCCATAACCATAGGCAAGTGAATTATATAGTTCCATAGGCTTACCATTTTTCTATCCAACCAACTATGGTAGGAAAATTTTAAAATACACAAAACAATCCATGTAAACCCAATTTTCCAAGAGTTTATACTAATAGCTTCCACATATCAAATGTGAGCTAAAACTTGGTTTTTTCTTCCTTCTCTTTTAATCTCCCTCACTTTAGGTTTCCAACAAGCAAGAACATACACACACACTGGTGTATGAGTTAAACACACTCACTTTACTACATATTAAAACACACATAACTTCCATCCAAGAAATTACACAAGTACTTCCACATAGCAAAACAAAGTAGGATTTGAATCAAACCCATTCTACACCTACTTCCTCAAGGCATAAAATAACATTTGCTATTTAATCACAATTCACAACACACATGTTATACATAGCCCATGCTACTAACACATTCAATTTTCAAGGGATTTTACAAGTGATTCCCACATATCACACATAACTAGAAATTAACCTAAGCCATTTCTACACCCTTTTTCATTCCCATTTTATCTATTTCACATGCATAGGTGAGTGATATATATATATATACTCTTTAATAACCTACACATTTCACATACACTATAGGTAGAAATGAACCAAGATAGAAAAACCCCTACTTCTTTGAAGCGTGGAGACTTCAAAAGCACCAAAACAAGCCCCAAGTTCTTGATTTTCCAAAAATTTGCCTTTGAATCTTCGGTGAAAATCGTTGTTTTTGGTACCCACACGTAGCCCTTGTCGCGTAGATCGACTTTAATTCTTAGTCCGACGAATTCTGACCGACGGAACTTCAAGAATCGGCGGAAGAAAACTTGAAAACTCTCTTTCTCTCTTCTCTTCCTCCAACGTCTGAAACCAGCCAACAAATGGGTAGGAAATATCTGATTTTTCAAATATTTGCCCCTATTTATACTTTTAGAATGCTTGGCCTAGAATGCGCCACACGACCTCTTTTTTTCGGATCCGTTTTCATCCCGAAACGATTAAATTTCGTCCCGATTTAAGTTCAAAATATTTTTATTTTAACTTGCCTCAAATTATTTCCCAAATTTTAAAATTTTTGCCAAAATCGTATTTTTTTTGGTCACCCGAGACTCAACCGCCTCGAAAAACGTAAAAAATTCGACTATCTCGAAATTCGATGAAATTTGACAAGGGTAACTAAATTTCATGAGACGAATCCAACGGTGAAGTCCGTTTCGTCATCTGAGTTCCAAAAAATTTTAGGTTTTCGACTCGTACTGTAGCGACAAAATTACCATTTTGCCCTTTTTTTTCAAAAGTTTAAATTTACCGGGTTTTACAATTATGTTATTCTCCCAAAACTCCCTCTCAGACGTCTTATGTAGCTTCATTTGGACATTCTCATTGCACGGTTCGTCTAGGCCTTGAGCGATTATAGACAAACCAATAATCCGTAGTATGCACACACCAATGAGTTTGTTTGACCAACAAGTTCTTCAACATCAATTTGTGAGGTTGAGTAGAATCACTAGTGTTAGTCTATAGATCATAAGGATCTAGGTTGTGGTGGAAGCTCTCAATGTTGAAAGATAGTTTTCTTTCTTCAAAAACTCACAAGAGGCTAAACCTAGGTATAGGAAAGGCAATTCCTATTTTGAGAACAATCGCTCTATTGGTGGGAGGTCATTCATAGGAAGGTTGGCACTGAAGTGAAAAACAACGTCTCAAATCAACCAAGGACTAAGACCGCTTGAGCGAGCTCATAGAGCAAGCCATGTGTTGATCCCCTATGGCCTTTTCACTTTTATCCTAAGTCAATAAAATACCGCTCTAGTAAACGCTAGCGAGCATTTGGTAGTCCTCACAGGTTTGTAAGCCTAAAACCATGCAAAAACTTATCCTTTTGAGCAGTAAAGGGTGTTGCTCAAAGAAGGGCCCGATTGTGATTTAAACTATGTTTTCAAAACTCATAAATAGTTTAGATTTTTTTTTAAATCACATAGGAGTTATAATCGGATCACTTCCTATTTACTTTTCATCCTAATCAACCGAAGTTAAAATAACTAAGGTTTCATCTTTGGTGTCTAGGCATTCACCTTTATCCTAAGCAAGAAGGTGTATACGGAGGTTTTTTTTTTCATCAGAGGATAATTACAACACTTACACTTAAAAGTGTAAGGCTGCAACATCCATATAACCCACACACACACCTTGAATAATGTAACTTTATACTTGCTCTCCTCCCTTCAATGTCACTTTTGAATCTTGAACTTGATAGCATCATGCCCATGGAAATGGTTAAGGTTTTACAATAGACTCCACAAAATTAGTCAATTACAAATATATAATCTAACACTTGTTTCTTTTTAATCTTTTATTTTCTTTCTATTAACCTGACAACAACATAACAATTCAATTTAATTTATACTTCGATTCAACTTATAGATCTTGATTATATGATAATCTAATCAAACTAGGTCTACTTAGTATGAATCACGTGCCTCTAGAAACACACAAAGAGAGAGAAAGTATAATGGAGGAATTTGAAGACCCTGAGTCAATAAGGTGTAATATCCAAAAAGGAGTAATTCATTTTCAGCTATCAACAATTCTTTAGAGATAAATAGAAATCTTAAGAGAATGTACATATTGTTTATACTATGTGAGTACTAATGTGAAGGGAACCATAATTTTTTTTTGGTTTGGTCCATGAAAATTTGAGGATACTAATTATTGTTTTTAAAGCATAGATCTGATAGAATTTGTAATATATAAACTGGTTCTACTTGTACCTTCAAGGATACTAAAGGGGTGCAAATTGACTGCGCATGATTAGACCATTTAATGATTCCAATTGACAAAAACACATGACATAAGACAAGTGGCAAAAAGGTATTAATCAATAGAGAGCCTTGGCTAAGCCAACAGTTCGGTTAATCAAGCATTGGGCCTACCTACCTAACGAATCTGAGCCAAACTGGTTATTTGGTTGTTCAGTCAGCAAAGATACCAAGTAACCGGTCAAGCCAATTGGGAAGGACCATATAAGGTCATATCGATTGGAGGGACTGGATCATTGGAAGAAAAACTGATTCCAGTACCATGGAATGCTGAAAACCTCCGAAAATACTACTTTTGAAGTGCTTCTAGAAATAGGAAAAGATTGAAGTACCTTCAATCATTAGACTAGAGTACCTCCGACAAAATTGTAATTGATTTAAAGACATATAGTCTTAAGTTGAAAAATTTTAAAGTACTCGTTTCAGTGAATAAGAATTCCATTGCAAAGTACCATTGTGAACTTCCTTCAAAATTATACAATAAGCATTTGCCACAACAAAGGAAAAAGTCCCAAGAATGAAATTTTGGGCAAAAGATCAAGGAAGACCTAGACACGATTCAACCTACTACCAAGGCAGTGAAGGAAAAATTCCTAACAAGGATAGTGACCTAGCTTAAGTGCAGCCACCTGGTCAAACCTAGGCCCAAGACTAAGCACGACGATGTAAGCCAAGGGATAAGATTTTAGACCAATTGCTTCACCAAGTCACTACAGCGGTTGCAATAAAGCAACCAAGAACCAAGACATGAACCCTTCATTTAGGCCGGTCCTCTTTGCTAGGGGAAGGGGGCATTGTTAAAAAAAATTCTAAGTATTAGGAGGCCCTAGTCCTTCATTGAGGTCAAGCGTATTTGCTAGGAGAAGGGGCATTACTCAAAAAATTCTTCTGTATGAAAAGATCATATCCCTTCATTGAGGCCAAACATCTTTGCTAGGGGAAGGAGGCATTACTCAAAAAATATTTGTAAGTATCAAGATGCCCTAACCCTTCATTGAGGTCAAATCTCTTTGCTAGGTGAAGTGGGCATTACTTGAAGAAAATTTATGTATGAAAAGGCCCCAGCCCTTCGTAGAGGCCTAACATCTGTTAGGTGAAGGAGGAATTACTAAAAAAAAATTCTAAGTATAAGGAGGCCGTAGCCCTTCGTTGAGGCTGAGCCTCTTTGTCAGGGGAAAGGGGTATTAGTCAAAAATTCTTCTATATAAGGAGGCCCTAGCCCTTTATTTAGGCCAAGCTTCTTTGCCAAGAGAAGGGGCCATTACTCAAAAATTTGTCTATGTATCTAAGAAGCCCTAGCCCTTTATTGAAACCAAGCCTCTTTGTTAGGGAAAAAAGGGGCATTACTCAAAACAATTTCTAAGTATCAAAGAGGCCCAAACACTTTATTGAAGTCAAGCCTCCTTGCTACAAGAAGAGGGCGTAATTCAAAAGACACGCCCGAGTTCTAAACCTCTCTCAAAAGGGTGGGGGAGAACAAAGAAATTTCATAAAAAAAGTATTTCATTCATGATCAAAAGGGGGTTTATTGTAAAAAAAAAAGTGCATATTTTAAGGGAGATTGGTTGTTAGAATCATAGCAGAAGAAGAAGTACACCAAGCATCATGATGAGAAAAGAGCTCAGAGGATAGAGGAACATTAGAGGCATGAATCGACCTTCTCCATCCAATCTTCATCATCTTGCCCAGCTCTGGATTTGACTTGAAGGCCTTAAATTCTTCCAGGAGAACAGCATTTTCCTCTTGGGTTTGGCAGAACTTGTGGGAAACCACTCCTTTGAAGACTTCAAATAGTAATTCAAAGATTTCAGATGCTCTCTTTCTTCCTCAAGCTTGATTATCTGGGCCTGGAGAACGAGCGCCTCTTCACAAAGCTTGTAGACTTTGGCACACATGGTCTCATTTTTCTCTAGGGCAACCAAGCGATCGTAAATGGCCTGGTTCATGGTCTTGTCCTTCCTTACGGTCCTCGCCCTGACCTCATAGACTCGCTAAAGGCCAATAAATGACCTTGATTCCCATTGTATTAAGAATAATATATCTCAATGTCATAAAATTTAGGACTAAAATTGCTATCTCATTTTGCCCCAATAAAATTTGTAATAATCAAATATTCCATAATTAAAATCTAACATAGAATTTGACCTCGAGTAATGTTCATATAATTTCTTAAAATATCATGAGACCCATAAAATCTTAATTATTTATTCTAGTTCACGTCAAGATTCAATCGTCAGAATCCACCCACCTTAAAAAAAAAATTTGTCCTCTAAATTTACAAGTGATAAATCGCATACTAACTTCGACTGAGCACTTCAGTATAATTTTATGCACCTAAAATCAGCTCCTCTATTACCCTCAGGTCGTCATCTTAAGTAACTAAATTAAGACAATCTACAGAATCTCACACCTATGCTTTGATACCAAACTGCGACGCTCGGATCTGCTGAAGATAATATTTGATACAAATACACCTGAATAAAAATAACAAAGCACTAATTATCCCAATAAATTGAAATTATCAATATAATCTCTAAATATAAATACATCTTTCAATTTCAATATCACAAAATTATATCGAAACAAGCTCATCTTTAAATTTTCCAAATATCTCAACCCGATTTGTCTCCATGGTCAACCAGAAAAATGTCAAATAAAGCGAAAAAATATACAATATGAAGAGGAATAATATGCTTAAAGGCATTAAATACCGAATAAATTAATATCACAAAGTACCTTAATCAACAAATATAAATATCATATTTGCATATCACATGTCATGTAAGATCTAAACGCAAATCTGACATCTTACCAATCATCCTACTTCAACCCGATCTCCCAGGTCTATTGGCTGGCGATACATCAGACTATTGGCTACCACGATCTCGTCTCAATCCACACAAAACATGATCAATGAGATTAATATATTCAACTATATTAAATCAAAATTCCAAGAATAATGATATCACAAGATGGAACACAAATTAAATGATAATTAAGAAACTAATATTTACAAAGAGTATATGAAAGGAGTATATTATATACAACCCTATACCTCAAATCACCAAGGGATTCCGATAAATTTGATTCCCACTATATTAAAAACAATATATCCTAATTTCATAAAATTTAGGACTAAAATCACTATCTCATTTTGAACCCGATAAAATTTGAAATAATCAATGTTCCATAATTAAAATCTAACGTATAATTTGACCTCGAGTAACGTTCGTATAATTTCTTAAAATATCATGAGACTCATAAAATCTTAATTATTTAATCTAGTTAGAGTCAAGACTCGATCGTCACAAAATGTTCTTAATAGTACATATATTTCCAAGTGATAGTTATTTGGCCAAACTCGACAATTTAATTTTTCAATTGTTTTTCTTTTGTTAATTCTATAATTTTTCAAATAATGACTTTTCTTAATGAGTTTTGACTGTTCTCTTTTTCACATATTGAGGTGGCAACTAATGATGATGTTCGTAATAGTGTCCTCTAAAGCATTACGTGTATATGAGATTTTGTGAAATTGAGGTTTCTTTTGTGTATATTGTTTAACTTTCTGTTGAAAAGCACCCTTAAATAATAATTGTCGTAACTTCCAATGTTTTTAGCAAACTATGGGAGAGTGGTTCCTCTTTTTTTTTTTTTATAGAAATTATCTCCATTATATTCACAATTCAATCCCTAATTCATTATCTGATGCAAAGGTGTGTTAAAACCTATTGCTAATGCTAAATCGAGTAAAGCTTGGACTACGTGAATTGATTTGTGATTGGCTTTGGGCTGTGATTATGTTTCAAGATATAAGGATGTTGCTTCTTGATCCTAAAGCTTGTGAGGATATCATTTGTTAGAGTATGTGTGACTCATATTTGCTGTGTGCACAATGGCAAGGAGGCAGATGCCGGAGCGGGCGGAGCGTAGCGGAGTGGAGCGGAGCCCGCGACGGCATCTGCCTTGCGGGATTTGTATAAAGGGGACACTGATTAGTTGGGGGTGCGAGGGCAACGCCCCCACGGTACGGTACATGAGTATTTTTGTAAATACGTCCATATTAGGGTTATATAAATACTTAAGATGTAACCCTACCTTGAATAATGAAAAAGAACGGCTGCTAGCTCCTGTGGATGTAGGCACATTGCCGAACCACGTAAATTTCTGTGTTATTTTCTCTTGCTTTCTTAATTGTTTGATTCCTTATAATTCACCATAATTGTTGCACGATCACAACAACTGGTATCAGAGCTAAACTACAATGTCTGGATTTCTTCTACAAAATTCGACATCATGAAGTTCGACGGAACTTGAAATTTTGAATTATGGCAGAGGAGGGTGAAGGATCTGTTAGTGCAGCAGGGCATGGTGAAGGCATTATACGAAAAACAATTGGCAGGAATGGACGAAATGGATTGAAAAGAATTGGAAGCGAAGGCTGTAGCGACTATTAGGCTTTGTCTGACTGATGAAGTGATGTATCATGTCATGGATGAGGAATCACCGGCGGAAGTTTGGTTGAAACTGGAAAGTCGGTATATGTCCAAGTCGTTGATGAACAAGCTCTATCTTAAGCAGAAACTATATGGTCTTAAGATGTCAGAGGGCTCGGATTTGACCCAACACATCAACGTGTTTAATTAGATCATCAGCGATCTGAAGCGAGTTGATGTGAAGTTCGAAGACGAAGACAAGGCGCTGATGTTGCTAAATTCCCTACTGGCGTTTCCTATGTACGAGAATTTGGTTACGACTCTGATGTGGGGAAAAGAAATCCTCGAGTTGGAGGATGTCACAGGTGCTCTATTAGGTTTTCATCAGCGGAAGAAAGCCAGTGATGAGGCTTCACAAGGTGAAGGGCTTGTGGTGAAAGGTAACCAGGAACGTGGAAGAAGCAAATCTCGGAATGGATCGGGTAACAATAAAGCCCGGTCCAAGTCAAGGAAGAAGAGGAAGGACGTCTCCGTCTCGTGTTACAAGTGCGAGAAAAAGGGGCACTTTAAACGAGACTGTCCAGAGAAAAAGAAAAGGGATTCAGAGGACAAAGAGGGTGCATCAAAGTTTGCAAACGTAGTAGAAGAAGAAGATTCAGAGAGTGGTGACGGTGATATGCTTTCTGTTTTATCCAGTTCAGATCGTTTAACAGATTCTTGGATTATGGATTCAGCATGTTCCTATCACATGACACCCAATAAAGATTAGTTTGACACCTACAGGTCAGTAAATTTTGGTTTTGTTCTGATGGGTAATGATGCATCTTGCAAAGTTGTTGGAATAGGAAATATTAGAATTAAGATGTTTGATGGTATGGTTAGAACGTTGTGTGATGTTAGACATGTACCAGATCTAAGGAAGAATTTGATTTCATTGGGCACTTTGGATTGTAATGGTTATAGTTACAAATCTATAAGTGGAGTAATGAAAGTGAGTAAAGGCATGCTGACAGTGATGAAGGGACAGAAAGTAGCAGGAAACATTTACAGACTGCTAGGTACCACAATTGTAGGTGGAGTTGTAGCTGTAGAGTCTGAATCAGATGATACAGTCTTGTGGCATATGCGACTGGGTCATATGAGTGAGCGTGAGATGATAGAGCTTCATAAGAAAAATCTATTGAAGGGTGTCAAGACATGTAAGCTCAATTTTTACAAATATTGTGTTCTTGGAAAATAGAATAGGGTGCAGTTCAAGACAGACACACACAAGACAGAGGGGGTTCTCGACTATGTTCATACAGATGTTTGGGGACCAGTTAGCGTAGTATCACGGGGAGGATATATGTATTACGTGAGTTTCATTGATGATTACTCACGAAAGGTCTGGATGTACTTCATGCGGCACAAGTCTGAAGCATTTGCCAAGTTCAAGTTGTGGAAAGCTGAAGTAGAGAACCAGACAGGGAGGAAGATTAAATGCCTCAGGTCAGATAATGGTACTGAATACACAGATTCAAAGTTCCAAGAGTTGTATGAGCAACATGAGATCAAGAGACACTTCACAGTCCGCAAGACACCACAACAAAATGGTGTAACGAAAAGGATGAACAGAACGATAGCCGAGAAAGCTCGGCGTCTCAGGTTGAATACAGGGCTTGCAAAGAATTTTTGGGCAGAGGCAGTGAATATGGCATGTTTCTTGATTAACAGATCACCGAGGGCAGCACTAGATGGGAAAGTATTAGAGGAGGTGTGGACAGGCAGTGAGGTAGACTACTCTGGTTTAAGAGTGTTTGGATGTCCAGTCTATGTACATGTTTCTAGTGAGGAGAGGTCGAAGCTTGATGCGAAGTCTAGACAGTGTATCTTTCTGGGATATCAGAAAGGAGTGAAAGGCTTCAAACTCTAGGATCCGAAGGCAAACAAGATGGTGATCAGTAGAGATATGGTTTTTGATGAAAAAGCCATGTTGCAGCGTACTCAGGAAGAAGAGAAACAAGTACCAGAAAACTGTAGCACTAATGAGCATGTGGTGCAGGTGGAGCTAGAGAACCATGGTAGAGAAAAGGATGCTCAGCATGTAGAGCGTTCTATCTCAGGTGATCAGCAGCATCATAGTATAGCCACAGATAGGCCCAAACGTAATATCAAGCCGCCTACCAGGTATGATTTTGAAGATTTGGTTTCTTATGCGCTTATTACTAGTAGCGGGGATCCTACAACTTTTCAGGAGGCAGTAAAAATCCAAGAGAAAAGTAGATGGATGAGTGCTATGGTGGAGGAGATGGAGTCTCTGCATAAGAACCAGACGTGGAAGTTAGTGGAGCTTCCCGAGGGAAAGAGAGCAATAGGGTGCAAATGAGTGTATAAGAAGAAAGAAGCAATATCAGAAAAGGAAGGGAAAAAATTCAAGGTTCGTCTAGTAGCAAAGGGTTACTCATAGAGAAAAGGGGTTGACTATGATGAGATCTTCTCCCCCGTGGTCAGACACACTTCCATCAGGACAGTGTTGGCACTAGTAGCACATTCAGATATGCAGTTGGAGTAAATGG